ATTTGGAATTATGCTACATGCCAATCAAGATCACAAGCCCATCCATCTGAATTTTGGTCAACATGTCGTAAGATTGACCACTGGCTGTGAATTCCGTTGTGTTACCGGCACAAGTGTAGGTCATTGTCACTTGCGTTGCAATAAGGGTTCCCATTTTACTCATCCGAGTCTTGCGCAAAACAGTGCAATATGATGCAATTACGTTACGTGAAATGATTAGATCATGACAGTTGCGTCAGACCTCAGCACTAAATCCATAAATCGTACGCCTGGATTTTTACGAGCACAGTCTTTTGGTAATTATGCCTTGGACGAATTGCACGAAACTATTTCAATATTACATGAATGTATATAGAGACCGCAGGCCTTTTCCAGGGTCATTCCTCCTGCTGTCTCACTGGCCAGGAAACAGTTTTCCGGTGACATTATTTCAGAGAGGCTCTGCTGCTTCTTGACAGCAAGCAGGAATGAGGCCCCTTCTTTTCTGACACCTCTTTTGTTAAGTAGGCACTTTGTGAGTGGTTTACCCCGAAACACCGTCTTTTATTATACCCTTTAAAACCTTCTGACGTTGATTTTATTTCGCATCAGTGCTTATCCGACTCCGCGTCGCAGGGGCGGAATGACATTGTAAGAACGGCCGTCCTGGAACACTAACTTTTGTGCTGACCTGAGCCAGCGTCGCATAACGACGTAAGACAGGCAGCGGGTTGTCGATAGCAGGAGAAGCTAATGAATCCAGGCGAGACCGGCTATGCATGACAGATTAGGTACAAGCTCTAACGTTGCCTTAATTCGGCGCTTCTGTTGTTCGTGAGAAAGCCTGCAGGCGGTCGATAATAGGGGGGGGGGAGACCCACGGCAGACTAGGTACAAGCCTTTGTGGTAACCTAAGCAAGATTAAGTACAAGCGTTAGGGCTGCCCTAATCCAACGCTGAGTTTCAGCGTGGGATAGGCGAGATAAAGACTAGAATAGACTTAACGCATAGACATCTCCATCACCACGAAGATTCGTGTATACCGTGCATCCATCCGATCAGTCCTCCTCTATGGATGTAATTACTGGGCTGTGCGCGTTGAGCATGAGCGAAGACTAGAGGTCTTTGACCATCGATGCCTGAGGACCATTCTGCGAGTTAAGTATAGCAACTTCATCTCGAATGAGACAGTCCGCACCCGCTGCGATCGTATCGCGAGGATATTTCAGGCCATTCAAGAAAGGCGACTGGGGTAGGTTAGACACGTTCTCCGTCGTCCGCCCCACGAGCTTAGCTATGCTGTCCTTGACCCAGCACCGCAGCCCACCTGGAAGCGTCGAAGAGGAGGGCAACCGAAGACTTGGTTCGACACAGTCCGCCAAGACATGGAATCAGTTCTTGGACCTTCTATTTTCGGGCTCCTTCGT